TCATCTTTCTATAGTATAAAGACTCTTTGAACTTCGGCTGAAAGGTTCGGCTGTACGTAGAATACACATTCACGGATGCTATTTTAAAAACATGTAGCTACTTATGCTACTCTTTACAAAATGACAAAAATGAAAATCCGAATCTATATAGCCTATCCAACAGAGATACACACGACTTGTTGGACGATCAAGATCACAGTTTTCCCTCACTGACTTTTCAATGTAGCGATCAATAAATTCGACTTTGTAAACCATCTTTCCGTGTTGTTTTGGTTTTCAGAGTTCTCGAAATAGCCTGGATATCGTTATTTTGACAGCGAATTGAAAACGTCAATCACAGCGCTGATTTAAACCAATCAGGAAGCGCGGCCTCTGGAGGCTGCGAGTACACGATTTAGCGGCTCTCGTTTTTTTTCCGCTCCGCCTGCCCACCCCCTTCCCCTTCCCCTATCAGTTATCTTGAATCTTGGATTCCCGTCGAAATGTCTTTGCAAAACGTGTGCTCCCAGATTTTGTATGACTGTGCAAAAAAAAAAAAAAAAAAAAAAAACACGGTATACTTTCGCGCTGTGATACGAAATCCACTTTATGCTCGACGGACGGATTGAAAAATGACCCTAAAAGGTAACCATAAATTAATTCATGCAGGTATCGATTCCAGAACCTAAAAGGTACGAACACATTTAACGAAAAATCTTTAGAAAGTCAATAATTGACCATGGTTTTGAGTGAGCTCCAGAGACCAAAAGTTATATGAGGGTTTTATTTTCGACCCTAAACGTCCGCCGAGCATATCTACCAACTTTTATAATGGTGTGTGGTATCAGGTCCATCTTCTGCCCAGTCACTTTTCCCCTGTTAGAAGAACCTTTTTTTTTTTTTTTGCTTCTCAGGAAATCGCTGACCTTTCTAGCTTTTTTTAAAAGCCCATCCTCTTTAAGCATTGAACAGCCTTCAGCTCCTGAAGAGTTGACGCAAGTTCAGGCTAATTAAACGTTTCCCTGTATACATATTCTTGTCCTTATTCTTGTCTCCTTCTCCCGCTTGAGTTGACATTTTTCACACCGGCTCTAAATGAAGCTCAAGGGGACTATATCGCTGGTATACGCGAATACATCATTCCACAGGTCAGCTAAACAGTTTCAGACTGGAGTCGCTGGTACCCTCGTTGACGTCACTGTCACTGTCACTGTCACTTTAATCACAAATAGTTCACAAACTAATGTTCTAAGTGCACAAATGATTGCACGAATATTTTTGACAAAGAAAATGGTAGAGAAAAAGGATATAAATTATCATTATTTCTGTTTTCATTTATCTAAAACCATCGCCTTCGTGCGGGATTCCTGTGTTAATATCACGCAATCTTTCGCGTTGTGTCCGTCAGAGGGAGCAGCTTTACCGATCRAGTGACGATGGAATTCTCTACACCTATAACAGTATTTCACTTTGAATTTCATATTCTATGGTCAGGTAATACATGCAGCTGGCAGTTTTTGTATCAGTCTTACTTCAAACGAATAACAGTTGATATAACGTGGCTTGGGTTAGCGTAATTATTGGACTACATTCAGCTTGTTTAACATTTTAACTGAATTTACACTCTCTCAATGCAAATAAAGCAGTGTATTATATCAAGAAGATGTCTGTTTGGGAATCCCAGTCGAAAGAAGCCCAATTTCGGTAAATGTATTCACTCAGAAATCACAAATGTACACAAACCACTAAGTTAATGAGGTCAAATATTACCGAAATTGGGTTCGTCACAAACCGCTCCACAGACTGTGTTTATGATTTGCCCCAAAATTTTATTTCTTTAAACTCAACTATGGTTATTCGTCTTTCCTCATATGCAGTGGCTTTGGGCTAGGACATGTACCAGTGAAGATACAGAGGTTTATGTAGGATACACTTGAAAACTACAAAAATCATGAAGGACAATTTAAAAATCGATACAAAATTCATTTTTATTTTTCTGAGTTCACAAACAGCTCTAAGTAGTCGCTTATATGTGTACTTTTNCAGCGCCAGTCAGCGCCAGTCAGCGCCACGCGAACATGCTCAACTGAACTGGTTAACATTACCCTGAGCCAAAGAAATTTAGTACTGTGAAAGCCGTCTTTTTGATAATCCGCCAATAAAATTGCAGTGACATATTTTATTATTCTGCATAACTGACTTCAGATAAGTATTAATAAAATCTTAATTATTTCAATACTCCAGTTTCGAATTCATAGCGAAAAACCRYTGCTTTATTTGACAACAGATTCTCTTACGCAAAGACTTTACCAAACACAAAAGAAAGCAAGAGAAAATGTCGTTATAACAATAGCGTTGAACATTTTCATTTTCCCTAGTTGAGAATGACCCTGTATTCCCATAAGACCTCAGACAGTACCCAGTCGTTTCTCTTACTCGTTTAACAGGTCGTGGTGTATCAAGGGAAGTCTGAACTACCGGACTTACCTTTATCCTTTGCGGTCGCAAAAGGCTATGAGCCTTCTGGGAATACAGGGTTAGTGTGGTTAATGCAAATTGTTAGCGCTATTGTACTAACAACATTTTCTCGTTCATTCTTTTGTGTTTGTTAAGTTCTTGAGTTCGAAAATGGAGTATTGGCTGATTATCGTTGCTAGTAAGATAACGTAAAGATATGAATATGAGGACCGCATAGCAATATGATAGATACGATATAGAAATGAAATAAATTTATACTGCTTAAAAGGAGGCAATTCCGAGTGAAAGATCCTTAGGATATATTCCGACCTCGCTGCGATTCGAACCCACGACCTTCGGATCCCAGCGAGGTCACGTCGGAGATTAATTTTTACGAATTTATTCCTAAGGGTCTTTCTCTCGGAATTGTTTCCTTCTCGGCACTATAAATTTCTTTCATTTCTACTAAGTAATATGCTATTACAGGGCACATTAATTTTGAGCGGGTGCCATCTTTCTTTCGACGGCTAACCATAGTCATACATGTATTTGTAACTGTACTTGTAATTGATACACAAAGATATATACTAACAATTTTCATTGTACATTTAGTCCATTCGAGAACTCTAATAATTTTGTAAGTTTACTCGTAAGCTTTCACCATTTCCTAGGTTACACAAGATTAAAAAGCTTCGAGTGTCAAAAAAACAAAACAACAACAAATGACGATCAGCGCACTAACTAGGCCCTATAATATTTGCTACTTGCAACTGTCGCATTAAATGGCCTGTCATTCTTGTTATGTCCAAGAAAATCTGTGCCAAGTTTTCTTTTTTTACTCAAAAGTACACGATTATTTCAAATTGTGGGTTAACAGGCCTGGCTACTGATGATAGCACTACCTTAAGATTGTTGTTTTTATAGGTAATCCATCGTGCTATTTTGATGTTCTTCAACACTGTCCCATAAACTTAGACAAGTCATGGGTGCCAACGAAGTTCAAGGACCGGCAAGGTATCGAATAAAAATCTGAACTTAAAATATATTTAAACTAGACGCTCTTAGAGCGTGAAGTCGAGCTAGCTATTTTTGAAAATAATGATATAATATTCAATCGATCATATGATTATATATAGAGAGGAAATTACATGGGTGCGCGGAAATACTAATTTATCTTCGAGTGTTCAATCGATCGATATCTCACGAGTGATCGTAAGTGTTCTATTTGTTATATACATAACGTTCTATCGATCTACTATACATGTTGATCTAATTGGTCGAAAAAGTGGGTTCCAATATGCCAACAGTGCATTTTCACATTTTATCGAAATGTATATAATAAATGAAAGTAAATTATGGCGTAGGAGATTTCGACTTCTAAAATACTTAGTGACAGCAAGAATGCGTCACTTCCACTAGTTTTTTATTGATTAAGTAATACATCCTTTTGCAAAAATTATGAGAATTGTCTAAATATCATAGTATCCATATCCATATATTGTCCAGAACACGCGAGTTTGCTAAAATAATTCATTGTTGACATCGAGAAAATGTTCAGAACTACGGATAAGTCCATCGCCAAAAAAAAACTAAACTACAAAGACAAGGGTGTAACGCCCGCAAATGTAATCCTGCCCACAAATATAATCCCGCCTGCAAATGTAATCCACAGTTAAGCGCAAATGTAATCCCGCCTGCAAATGTAATCCACGGTTAACCGCAAATGTAGTCCAGCCCGCAAATGTAATCCACAGTTAACTGCAAATGTAATCGTGCCCTCAAATGTAATCTTTAATCAAGAGGCATGGCAAATAACAACTTAAAACGTTCATAAAAAAGATTTTTAAAATACAATAACAAGCACATATTTTATAGTAGAACAAATTAGAAAATAATATTATTTTAATTGATAAGCGTTGTATCTTATTGTCTAAAGAATATCAAAACATGTTAATTGATATTTAAGCGTTACTTCAACCTAAAAGTTTAAATTTGTTTGTGCTGGGTCAGACCACCCCCCTCCATCGATCTTGTAATTTTCCCGAGAAATATTCGCGCGGCCAAGATAAAGAAGCTGGGAACGAGTATGTGGTTACCGGAAGTAAATAAAACATATTTTCCTCATACTTTCTGGGGGTCGTATGGGGAATGTTTTTGGCCATAGGACAAAATGGCGGCAAATTTTGAACATAGGTAAGTGGAAGCTTTCGCATGGTGGTTTATCTTTGAAAAATGGTGCATTATTAGTGAAATTACGGCCTTTTATTCCTGATGGCTTGTTTTTCGTGTATGTAGAATTACTGTGATTTTTTGTCCATATTCTAATTATTATTTTTCGCTTTTAGTTTGGAAATCAAAAATTCTAAAACGATACGATGTTAGATCAGTTATTGAGTTTTATGAATATTTATATTTTTTGTCATTGTGATGCAAATTAAATGTTTTAAACGAACGCTCCCTGGATGCATTTTTGGTGAGATGACAGCGTTAAACGATGACTTTAGAAGTCGTCTAAGGAGTAAAACAAAACCAAAGCAACACAATATGAAAAAGAACGAAACTGATCAAAGTATAGACTGTGTTTACATTTATACGTAATCTAAAATGCATTGTCTCACTTCAGAACACCAGAAAATCCAGAAAATGATTCTTCTATTGCTGTGAAAAGAAAGCTAAGATTTCCAATAGGCGAATATGCAAGGCAAAGAAAAATGGCGCGCGTACAAGCAGCGAAGGAGATGGCAGATACCGATAAAGTAGTTGATAATTTAAGGAAAAAACTCAGCTACAGAAAGCAAAAGGTAAGTTGTTTAATATTTTCCCGATAATCTGCATTATAATCGAGATAGAAGAGCTTTTATTCATTGTTTACTGTATGTATGTTTGCACGTTTATTCGAACTGGTTTTTAATATGATCAAGATATAAATTCTCCCCATGTAATGCGGTAAAAAGCAGGTTCCATTAAAAGAGAATTAAATATTTCATCAGTAAGCTGGTACCTAAGGCTATATGCATATATCATTATATCTTAATCAAATGTTTTTTAAGCTTAATATATTATATTTATACATTTTTTTACAAAACTGCATATAATAATTTCATGAATACACAAAAAGTCAGATTCCTTTACTGTATAAATAAAGGTTAACATTGATAATACACAAACACAAATAAATAAATTTTATTTTCAATTGTATTTATTAATTTTTGTTCAATACTTTAATGAGCAATTCCTGTATCAATATGTGCACCTTGTGAGAGTATGATATTTGTGCTTTAATTGTTTAGGTGGATCAATTAGAAAGTGGTCTTGAAAAAAATCCAATTACAGACAGCCGAGCAAGTAGAAGACCAAACATTTCAAGTTCCATAGACCCTGAAAATAGCCACCGCCTTAAAATGGGAATGGCACAACAAACAAGACGTAAAGGCAAAACCATGTCTGCACTAAAAGAAATACACTGTAATACTATGTCAAATGATTTAGAATCCAAAGCTGCAGTTAAAGATGGTCTTTGGACTACTTTAATCACTGAAGTTAGTTCTAAAGAGTTGAAAAATTACATGGTTCATTCCAAGACATGTATGCAGTCAGTTGTTCCTGGAATTATAAAGGATGCAGTTAAAGCATATGAGAAGACAGATGCTAATTATATAAGAAGTGCTAGTATCCTTTATAAAGGAGGTTTATTAAGCAAGAGAAAGTATCAAAATGTCAGGAACAATGATAAGGAAAGTTCTATCTTTGAAGCTAAGCATTGCATTCCACGTGTTTGCCCATACAACAAATTAATTAGCTATATAAATAGGCTAGATGTAGGTGTAACTACTGCTCTACCTCAACAAGTTCAGGGTGTTTTTAGAAACACTGAGGGATATATTTTAAGACTAGCAGAAATGTATTTAAGTGTATTGGGTGATAATATAACATGGTTTAATGGGGAGGTAGGTCGCTTTTACATTGCTATAGGAGCAGATGCAGCTCCCTTTGGGAAGGATGAGTCTGCTACAGCCTTTCTGGTTAGCTTTCTTAATATTTTAGATGGAGTTGCTAGCTGTAGTAATAATTATCTTCTTATGGGAGCTAATTGTTCTGAAACACACCCAGTAATGTATTCCTATGTAAGGGATGTTGTAACAGAATTAGAAGCAATTGAAAGCAAAGATTATAAAATATGTGGTAAACAAATTACATTTAAATGTAAATTAGTTCCTGCTGATCAGAAGTGGCATGCTGCCATGGGAGGTGAACTCAGTAATGCTGCAACATATTTCTCTACTTATGGCAATGTTTCTACTGCAAATTCAAAAACTATGGGGGGTAGCCTTGGGGACAGTAAAAAGTCTACCTGGAAGCTATGGAAATATCAAGACCGTCTGAAAACTGCAGATGAGGTAGACAAATTCAAGCAGAAAAACAAGATCCCTGACAACTGTTCAAAGAGTGAAAGAACTAAAGTGACAAAGTTCATTGCAAGTAAGAAGTCACGGCAGGAATTCAAGCCACCTCTTGGAAAGTACATTGACCTATGTTTACCTGATCCACTACATAATGCTAATAATGCATGGCAGAAGTGGCACTTTGAACTGCTTTTAGTGGCTATGAAATTTGTTTCCCCTGAATTGCTTAAGAAAGCAGACAATGTCAGTAAATTGCCAAATGACAATCCTTTTGTCATCTACTTAAACTGCCTAGACACCAAAGTAAAATGTGGGAGGCTTGTAAAAAACTTGGAGAGATGGTATAACGAGAAAAGGCCGAAAGGTGAGGAGTTTTCATACCATTTTACAGGCAAAGAAAGCCGATTGTTTTGCTGGCACTACATGGAAGTTATATCTGTACACTTCATGTTGTAGAGCAAATCCAGGAAAACCATGAAACTACTAACAAATAGTAGATATTTACAGACAAATTGTCAGTATCACTCATCCAGAACTCAGTCAGACAAAGACAAATAAACATGAGAGTCAAGAATCTCCATAAAGTTAACAATTGAAAATGGTCTCATTGATTGAGTTCTGGTTGAGTGATACTGACAATTTGTCTCTAAATAGCTACTCTTTGTTAGTACTTTGTTACTTCTATTTCATGGTTCATGGTTTTCCTGCATTTGCTCTATCATATGGTGTATATAAAAATAAGCATTGCATGGTTGAATCAAAAATCAGTACAAAAATATTATTAACACTTTTGCATCTAGCTGCCATTCTAATGCTGCGGAATACCAAATTCATTCCAGAAGCCATAACTAAAATTGATTTGAAGAGTTTCTGAATTCTTATTGTATCTGAAAATAAATGGTTTGTCTTTGGTAACAACAAGCTTCACCTTCTTCAAACTATCTTGAGTGCCATCTTCTTTGCACGCAATTCCTTGTTTCGAAATTATTTCACCATCCATATTTTGTTTGTCCAATATGTATACTGCCTTCCGAACATCAGTGACAGTAACCACAATCACTGCCCTTGTTTCCTTAAAGTCATGACCAAACGAAGTTTTGTTTATTATTTTGTTTAAAAGAACCACAAAAACTTCATAAGGAACATCCAAAGTAAACATTCCTTGCCATGGTGTGCATGTACTTGGAGTCTCCCTTAGTCTTGTCATAATTTTCCTATGGATCTTCCTCAAAAGCTTCACAATAATCGGCCTTGTGTTTAAATAGCATTCCACATCTCTAAATCTAGCATTTTCAGGACGATATTTGGAATCCAATTCTCCACAATGGGCTTCCAACTCGCGAAAATAGCTTGAAATGACACTTAAATGACTTGTGTCCTCGGTTTTTGAAAAAAAATCACTTTTAACTCGCCATATCAACGGTAGAACTTTGTTTGAAGGAGTTTCGCCGTCAAACGCATTTGTGGCCGCCATTTTGAATAGCCACCTCTACCCATAATTCCCTTCGCGCCCCCGATGATCAATAGAAGGGGGTGGTCTGACCCAGCGTGTTCGAGAGCTCCTCTATGTATCTGTCGAACCAGTAGATCTATAACCATAAAATTTTCACACAATGATCACC